ATGAGTTGGCCGTAGAAGTCTGCTCCGATTATGACATCTACTGCCCTTGGAACGAGAAATTCTGAATCAGCGAGAGTTAAACCCTTCAGGTGTGGCCATTTGGGTTCCTGTTGAGTCTTTATGGCCGGCAGGATGGTGGTAACTGTCTTCAACACGTGAGCTGAAATTGTCACTGTGAGTGGTCTATACCTTGATTGAAGGTTGAGCGTGACAATTCCTCTTGTTTGAGAAGTCCGTGTTCCACCGACACCATAAACGTCCAGCCTTGAGTGCCTTCGTTGTAACTTGAGCTGCTGGGTGAGCTTTTCTGAGATGAATGAGATTTCTGATCCAGGGTCGATGAGCAGACGAACTTGAGTTGATGAAGCTGCTGAGACGACTATTGCTGTTGCTGTGGGCATCAATGTGAGATGACTGAGATGGGCTGAGTTAGACGTGAGATGATCGCAACTCTCAAAGAGCTGCCCTGAGCTTCATGCTTGAGAGGACTTGGTTGACGGAGCGGGTGTGTTTGACACCTCCTGAGCGGTTTGATGGTCATCTCCTGATGGTTCGAAAATGACTGAGAGGTCTGCACCATGCAACAGGGTATGATGATAGTCGTTGCATGATTTGCAATGCATTCGGCTATTGCACCTCCTTAGATTATGCCTGCCTAGGCAATTGCAACACAGACTTCTGTCCCTGATCAACCTTACCCGTTGGTTGACCGAATAGCTTCGCATCTTTGGGCAGATCGCGATGTAGTGGTCTTACCCACAACAGTCACACGGATATGTAGTTCGTGACTGAGCTGGACGAGAAGTCTGATGAATAACCGACCTTGATGAGCTGGCTGGGGGCTGTTGCGAGGCCTAATGTGAGCTTGTCCGAGTAGTCTTAGCCCCTTTCGGCACATTGGGTTGAGCAGGCGTGGATGAGGATTCTATGGTCTCCAATGTGCGAGCACGAGCGATCAGAAATTCGGTGAGCTGGCTGAGTGTCGGAAATTCATCTGTAGATGCAAGAGATGTCTCCCACCTCTCGCGAGTGTCTTGATCGAGCAGTCCAGTGAGAAGAGTGACCATGAGGCAATCATTATTGCTTTCCACTGTGAGTGTTCTGAGTGCCTGAGTGGTCTCATTAATGATGTTGACCATTTTGGTCAGTGTTTGAAAAGGCTTGGCGCCTTTGCATTGGTTTGAGGTTGAGCAGCCTTTCTAGATGGGATTTTCTTATGAGACGTTTGTTCTCAAACTTTGATGTGAGCAAGGTCCAAGCCGAGTCTAATGATGAATTGTCAGGAGTGATGTTGGCAACAATTTCGTAGGCCTCACCTTTTTTTAATTTATTAAAATTGCGTACGAGTACACCGCGTGTCGGTTATGATTTAAACTGAGTGGCCGTTGAGCAGACTACGTTCCGAACCTTTCACTGAGAATATTATACTGAGTGRACTTGAGACGGCGTGATTATATTAATCACTTTTGAATCGGACGATGAGGATTATATTAATCCCATCGAACTTATAACTTTGTGAGAAGACGTAGACAAAGTTGAGAGGACGCGTGTGGTTGGAACGAGTCGATGTGAACTAAAGAA